GCTAGTATAAATGTTATGCCTTATAAACTGTTTAAGAAACTAGGCCTAGGTGAACCCCGTGCTACTAGGATGAGCCTTCAATTAGCAGACCGATCTGTAGTGCATCCTAGGGGCATAGTGGAAGACCTTCTGGTTAAGGTTGGCAAATTCAATTATCCTGTTGATTTTGTGATTTTGGACATAAATGAGGATGTGAATGTGCCATTGATACTGGGAAGGCCTTTCCTGGCCACCGCCAAGACCCTCATAGATGTGCATGATGAGACCTTAGGTTTGAGGGATGGCGAGGAGCGAATAACGTTTTCAGTTGCTAACACTATACCTGCTTCGTTACCTCTGCATGCTGTATCTCACCAGGAGCACGAGTCTGTCGTGTATCCTTCTGTGCTGCCTATTTTGCAGGACCCGCCTCCCACACCTTCGCCGCCACTCCTGACCACTCCATCACCAAAAATACAGATCAAGGAGGAGTGGCGGCCGAAACTGCATCGAAAGGAAGCCGGAGACCACTATGAGCTGGTCCCGCCCCCACCTTGGCCATCCGAGTATTCACTCGCTTGCATCTTACCGGATGGCCAAGTCGAGCTGGCAAATGCAGGTGGCCACAATAGTCGCGTACATGGCCACCATTTGAAGCTGTACCTCAAGAGCGATGTGGATCCGCTCTTGAAGGCACCTGATCCTACACTTCCCTGAGCATCCATACTGGCGTCCAGCTAAAAGACGGTAAAGAAGCGCTTGTGGGGAGGCAACCCCACCGAGGTTTGCATTTTCTTACTCTTTTTCCTTTGATTTTGTGTGTTTTTGAGTCTTGAGACGTTGATCCAGAGTCCAGTGTCGTTTTTGAGTGAAAACAGGTTGATTTCGGGACTCCGGAAAGTCGCACGGCCGTGCGGGTATTCCCCCTTGACCGTGCGAGCTCTCGGTAAGGATGGCACGGCCAAATGTGCCAGGTGCACGGCCGTGCGCATCCCCTCGGCCAGGCCGTGTCAGCCTGCACGGGCAAAAACCCACCTTGCACGGCCGTGCGCCCCTGCCCGTGCAGCCGATGCACGGCCTATTTATATGGCCTGCACGGCCATTGTGGTCAGAAAACTAAAACCAACTCGCCGGAATCCTCTGCCCTCGCCGGAAAACCGCGACAAACCCACCTTTTTTCGATTTTTTCGGCCGCTTTGGTTCATTTTTTCACCAAACCAACACCAAACCCACTCCTTCTACACCCAAAGCGCCCTATCCCTCGAGTTTGAGCGAGTTTGGGCGACGTTTTGTCGCCGGAGGCGATTTCCGGCGAGGCTCCGACGAGCATTTCCGGCCAGTTTTTCAGCGTTTCGTCGATTCCATTGTCTTCCCCTCATCATCCCCTACACCTCTACTTGAGTCTCCAGGTTTGATTTTGCCCCTAACTATGTTAATTTTGGAGAATTGAGTGTGTAGGGTGTATGTTAGAGAACCTTATTGAATCATGTGATTTGTGTGAAATTGATTGAGGGGAATGCATGGGATGTGATTGAATTATGTTGGGCAAAGTCCCATTTTCTTGTTTGAGCCCTTGTGTGCAAGAATTTGGCCAATTTCATGCTTCACTTAATAGTGCACAAGGTGTTCGATGAAATGCCTGTTTTCCATGCCATGTTGTGGCCACCGGTTGGGGCCCTTAATGATGTAGTTTGTGGGTGTATTGGCTATGGACGTGAACCTTGAGTTGCCTATTATCTTGTGAATGTGCACCCCCACCCTGATTCTACTTGATTTATCGAGATTTTGACCCCCGAACTATGGATGAAACCATGGTTAGGCTGTTTTCTGTTCTTAAGTGTGGGGGTGTGCTTGACCTTTTTCTTTGGCTCTTTTGGTTCCACTTTGGGTTGTTGTTTTGCAGGGCAATGGCGAAACCGAATTTCCAGCACTCGTTCATCCGGGATCTGAGGAGGGGCCCCACCGCAGAGCGCTTCAAGGAGGTCGTGGAAACCCCGTTTGGGTCACACCATTGCTGGTCCAAACGGGAGTTTCGGCGATTGCACTGCTACGAGCAGCTCTCCGCCGCGGTCGCCAACACCGCATGGCGCCGTCTGCTCCAGATCTGCGAGAAGGTCTACTACGAGCCGGTGTGGGAGTTCTACACGACTTTCAAGCACAACTCCACGACCAATTGGCAGGACGATACAGCCGTCCAATTCAGGCTGGGCGGTGTCCCCCGATCCTTGAGTTACCACGAGCTGGCCGAGGCTCTCGACCTCGACCTCGACGACCGTGAGGACTACGTCACCGAGGTGAATGAGCCACCGGAGGTGGACTTCGGGCGGCTGTACACCAGCCTGGCTCGGCTAGGCCAGACGCGTCCCTTCCGGTCCGGGAGGACGAAGGCATCTACCCTGCAGATCGACAAACGACTCTAAGTTCAAGTTCCGGTCCGGGAGGACGAAGGCATCTACCCTGTAAGACTTCGCCAGCAGGTGGTGGAGAAGTCGGTTGTCGATCTGCAGGGTAGATGCCTTCGTCCTCCCGGACCGGAAGGGACGCGTCAGGCCTGGCCGAGCCAGGCTGGTGTACAGCCGCCCGAAGTCCACCTCCGGTGGCTCATTCACCTCGGTGACGTAGTCCTCACGGTCGTCGAGGTCGAGGTCGAGAGCCTCGGCCAGCTCGTGGTAACTCAAGGATCGGGGGACACCGCCCAGCCTGAATTGGACGGCTGTATCATCCTGCCAATTGGTCGTGGAGTTGTGCTTGAAAGTCGTGTAGAACTCCCACACCGGCTCGTAGTAGACCTTCTCGCAGATTTGGAGCAGACGGCGCCATGCGGTGTTGGCGACTGCGGCGGAGAGCTGCTCGTAGCAGTGCAATCGCCGAAACTCCCGTTTGGACCAGCAATGGTGTGACCCAAACGGGGTTTCCACGACCTCCTTGAAGCGATCTGCGGTGGGGCCCCTCCTCAGATCCCGGATGAACGAGTGCTGGAAATTCGGTTTCGCCATTGCCCTGCAAAACAACAACCCAAAGTGGAACCAAAAGAGCCAAAGAAAAAGGTCAAGCACACCCCCACACTTAAGAACAGAAAACAGCCTAACCATGGTTTCATCCATAGTTCGGGGGTCAAAATCTCGATAAATCAAGTAGAATCAGGGTGGGGGTGCACATTCACAAGATAATAGGCAACTCAAGGTTCACGTCCATAGCCAATACACCCACAAACTACATCATTAAGGGCCCCAACCGGTGGCCACAACATGGCATGGAAAACAGGCATTTCATCGAACACCTTGTGCACTATTAAGTGAAGCATGAAATTGGCCAAATTCTTGCACACAAGGGCTCAAACAAGCAAATGGGACTTTGCCCAACATAATTCAATCACATCCCATGCATTCCCCTCAATCAATTTCACACAAATCACATGATTCAATAAGGTTCTCTAACATACACCCTACACACTCAATTCTCCAAAATTAACATAGTTAGGGGCAAAATCAAACCTGGAGACTCAAGTAGAGGTGTAGGGGATGATGAGGGGAAGACAATGGAATCGACGAAACGCCGAAAAACTGGCCGGAAATGCTCGTCAGAGCCTCGCCGGATTCTCGCCGGAAATCGTCTCCGGCGACAAAACGTCGCCCAAACTCGCTCAAACTCGAGGGATAGGCCGCTTTGGGTGTAGAAGGAGTGGGTTTGGTGTTGGTTTGGTGAAAAAATGACCCAAAGCGGCCGAAAAAATCGAAAAAAGGTGGGTTTGTCGCGGTTTTCCGGCGAGGGCAGAGGATTCCGGCGAGTTGGTTTTGGTTTTCTGACCACAATGGCCGTGCAGGCCATATAAATAGGCCGTGCATCGGCTGCACGGGCAGGGGCGCACGGCCGTGCAAGGTGAGTTTTTGCCCGTGCAGGCCGACACGGCCTGGCCGAGGGGATGCGCACGGCCGTGCACCTGGCACATTTGGCCGTGCCATCCTTACCGAGAGCTCGCATGGCCAAGGGGGAATACCCGCACGGCCGTCCGAGGCCATGCACGGGCAGACCCTGAAGATTGCACGGCCGTGCACCCTGGCCGTGCGAGAAGCCTGAGGATCGAGTTAATTGATACGCCGCGTTTTGGAGCTGCACGGCCAAGTGGGTGATGTGCACGGCCGTGCACCCTGGCCGTGCGAGTCGGGAATTCCTGGTTTTAGAGCCTATTCCGAGCCAAAAGTGGGAGAATCGTGTTTTCAGAGCAAAAACAGAGCCCTAGAGAGAGAAAGTACGAAGAACGCACCCTAGAAGCTGTCTTAGAGCTGGATTTTATCGAATCGAGCTTGGAGATCGTCATAGGAGTGGAAATCATCGTCCCGGAGCAGATTATCCTCATCGTTATGAGTATGACTAATCCGATTCTTGTTTTCTCTTCTCTCTCTATGGAGTAGAACCCTTCTCTCACTTGGGTATGAAGAACCCTAGTTCCTTGTGTTAGGGATTTGATTGTAATGACTTGGGATGATATTACTGTTTGATTTTAATCGAATGACGCATGTTTAATGAATTGATTTGAGTCTGATCAGCTTTTCTCAATTTCTGCTGCAATCTGAGATAGATAGAATCTGATTAGGTTGTTAGAGCCTCTTCATTCGATAGTAGGAGATTGGCTATACGAGAGTTAGCCAGTTTACTGCTTTGTACTGGTGTTCTTGGCGCCAGTAGTGGAGTTCTGTGTTCATAGCCTCAGCTTTCTATCCCGGTGAAGACTAGTCGTCTGCCGGGTAGTTAGACTGAGAGGGCTTGGTCAGCTTAAGAGATTCCAAGCTACTGTCGGATCTTCCGCAGTCTAATCAACAGTAAATCAACCCAGGGAATTGCAATTGAACCTAACTAAGGGGCTAGGGGGACTCAATCCCGAGTGACTCTTGCCTGCTTTAGAAACCGAACAATTTACTGCTTTCTTGTTGCTTTTACTTTTCACAACAATCACTAGAACTAGTTTGCTAGATAATAGAGAATCACGGAGTAAGCAGTAGATCTAGACCCCGGGTTGATAATTAAACTTGCCTGTTACTGCATTCCCGGACTGCGATTACACTTGGTCGCAGTTTGGTGTTGTGTTTTGGCGTGTCACCGTGGCTAAAAACTGGTTCAGGCAAATATATCCCAACTTTTTCGAGCGTTTGTCCTTGGCTTTTGTTTATAGTCATTGCATAGCATAATCGCAATAGAAATTGCCTCCTTTTGAGTATGAAGGGCCACTTAGAGTTCTCCACATTCAACACTATTCTTGGTATAACGAGCTCATCAGTGTCATAAGAACCGCCCATAATGTTGCCTTTTATATAATTGTCTCCCAAAGATGTGATCATGATCCTTGTGCCATTGCATAAACCAAGCCCAGGATTGAAGTTGCGTAAGAGCATAACTGGTGTGTTTACCTTTATTGTGAGCTCATGGTCTGGCACTCCGTTGAATGTAAGAGTGTTGAGAAACTCAGTTGGATAGCTTTCGTCGAATGAATCTGCTGTTTCTGTCGATAGAAATAGTGAGTCTGAGCTGTAATAGGTTGTCGAGTTTCCTGTAACACGTTGAAGCATGTAATTATTGATTGTAGAGACTGTTGCATTGGTTGGAGTAACTATGGCTCTACTGGTGAGGTATGATGGGTGACTATGGTTATGAGGAAACGAATCATATATGTCATCTGCAATTGACTCAACAGGATCATTTCCGGGATTAATCAAGAATAGCTGTGGTATCTGTATCCAATCCATTGGAGCATCTTCTCTGAATGATGTTGCTTTTAGCCTTCCATCTCCTAAGGCTAGAACCCATTCTGGAAATGTGTACCCATGTATAAGATGCTGATCAGCATATTGTACGGTTGTGATTCGCATGTTTGTAGACAGCTGCATCACTTTGAAATAACTCCATAACTTGGACCTAGTCAATGAACCATCAACAGTTTGTTCACGGCCAGCCTCGGTGATAACCGGAAGAGTTTGCCGAAAATTGCCACAAAAAATGATAGTCTTTCCTCCAAATGGTTTGTAACATTCTCCATGCAGTGGAACATTTAATATATCGCATAAACTTCGATCTACTGCTTCGAAAGCTTTTCGATGTGTCATAGGAGCCTCATCCCATATGATTAAGGATGCTTCTTTTAATAGATCAGCCAAATGTGTACCGTGTTTAATTGGACATGTTGATGTTGCATCCAGAATGAGAGGGATTTTGAATCTTGAATGTGCCGTTGTTGCTTTGGGAAGAAGTGTCGCTGCAATCCCCGATGATGCGACAAGAACAACTATCTTCCCCCAACTCCTAAGCTTTGTTGTAATTACATTATAGAGATACGTTTTGCCTGTACCTCTGTGACCATATAGGAAGAAAGCACGACCCATCTTGTTGTGCACCGAGTTGATGACTGCTGAATATACATTGGTTTGCTCAATATTCAGAGATTTCAACATAGAGGTGGCTAATACATGTTGCTGGTTTGTATCAAAAGCTAGATGCTCGTTTATGAGTGGGTTCTCGCCATTATCGCATGGACCATCGGATGGGAGTGGAAGATTAAAGTCCTCAAGAGTCATTGAGTGTGAGCTCAACATAGCCTGTAGTTGGTGTAGAACCCAGTTATGTAATCGTTCGTCGCTAAGCCTCATAGTTTGATCCCTGAGATTCTTGGCTGAACTGTATGCATAATCTTCAGACATAGACTTCCAAGAAGAATTGAACAATGTGATCGGGCTAGGTATTTCACAAAATATAAGCATCGACACGAAAGTGCTTCGAATCACCCGCGGCATGCTAGAAGATGAAATATCGCTCAGCACTCGTATCCACTCCGAAGAGTCTGATAAAAGGCCCAATCTTCCACAAGCTTTTTCAAAATCTGAACAAAGTTCTCCATTGACAGTTCTCAGATGAGCATAACTGATAGCGCCGCGAACTTTCGTGAGCAGCATTCGAAGGAAAAAAACATCGCCAGAACCTGGCGGAACATATGCAATTCTGCCTATAGCAAATCCTTTTTTGCGAGGACTCCACTCTTTACAGTCAGGTAGCCAAGTGTAGTTGTTTGGTGTCTGTGCATATGTAAGAATTCTTGCTTGGGGATCCCTACGATTAAGCGCAAACCATTCTGTTAAATGCGTCTTACCGGCGTATGGATTCCCCGAAATATTCCGAACATTGGACTGCTTCTTATAAGGTATTTTTTGCTGGTTCTCTTACATGTATTGGATATTCATTCAGCCTCCATATAGCTTCATAAGATGACAATGATCAGTAGTCAATGAATTGTTGAATTTCATCTCTATGTCTTACAGGCTGCACTTCTGGATTGCTCTGGGGTGCATTAGCGTTTTCAGCAATCACTAATGATCTGTCCGGCCCTTTTGTCACATATTTGAAAAGATATTTAATAAGTTTGCCTTTGTGACATACCTCAACATTGATATGAGCCTGCATTCTCACTAACAAATTTCTGTTGTATGGGACAACATGTCGATTGTCGAGGACTGAACTTCCCTTTTGAACCTCTATGCCAGAGTTAGATCTTCTGTAGATGACATTTCCGAATTTGTCAAATGACGTTGCCGAGTTAAACTCTTTTGGGAATTGCTTCGAACATCTTCCGTTTGAGGGCCGTTTATTGTCTCGCATGCACGGTGCATTTGTGTTTGCTTCTCCACATAGGCCATGTAACATATATTTGCAAACAACCTCATATCCAACTGGATCTTCTTGAGGGTCAGGGAGTTCGGCTGAGATGACTTCATCAATATCATCCGTTGTCCTTAGTTTATTCTCTTCAGCCAGCCAAACCAACAAGTGTATGTGAGGCAAACATTTTTTTTGGAACTCCGCTGTATACATTACTGGTACAAAACATAACTTGTTAGAAAGGGAAGTATCCAAAATATGTGCATTGAAAAGTAAGTAATCACTAATACTTCCCAAATTATATTAAATGATCATACTGCTCTTACTTGCGATTGTCTTCCCAAAGTAGGAGTTTTTCTTAATGTCGTCGATGAGAATGGTCAGCTTTATGTGGAAAACCCTCGAAACCACCATTGGTTTGTCCGAACGATTCGGGCCAACAATGTCACGAAAAGCTCCAGTTATTTCTTCCCACAATGAATTACACGTAAATGTAACAAATAGATCTGGATTCCCATAGAATTCAACCACCGCCATTGCATCGTGATATAATTGTTGCATATATCGTGGGCTGCCTATATAAGTCTCAGGGAGCACTACATGACCCACTTTATCCCCATAAAGATCACCTCGCGCCATAGCATCTTGTAAGCCTTGATAAACCTCAGCTCTAAGCTGTGGCTGATTGTAGCGTAAAAAAGCTAGCCTATTTAGCTCTATTGATGAATAGGCGTCTATGCAAAAATGCTGAAGAGCTTTTCCAGCATGAACAATTGTATGGCCTTCGTTGATGCGATATTGGAGCCTAAATGCATAGTACTCACGCTGAGCAACAAACTGTCGACGCATAGAAGGAGGACAGAAAGCTGACCTGTACTTGATAAGTGGATGATAGCCATCCTCTCCATATGGAAATAAGAGTGGGAAATGCAATGCATCAAATTTTGAATTGAGACTTGTAATTCTCTTCAAACCCTCATATATGTGATCAACAATGATATCTCGATCCTCTCTATCCGGAATAAAATCGCCCGGTATAAGTGCCGCGATTTCAGTGCTACTGGGCAAGTCATATTGTCGATTTCTGCTCTTAGCTCCAAAAATTCTAAGCTTTAAACTTGTTGTTGCAGAATCTTGCAGCTGCTGCCGAACCCGCCTGAACGTTTTGACAAGTTCATTATGCTGATCTAACATTTGAAGCAATAAAGTGAGCAATTCTGGCATAAGTAGACCATCACGGGAAGCAAAGTTCGCCAACCGGTTGTCAATTTCATTCTTAGGTTCGAAAATATAAAGCTGAGCAAACTTTGGTTTTTCACCATCAGGAGGCAGCAATGAACCAATTCTACGATAATTTTCTCCACATATGACCATTGAATAGGGCCCCCTTCCAGAGAGAGAGCGAGGGTCGATAGAAGCGCCAAATGATGTGAAGCACAATGAACCATTATACGGTCTAATGTTATCCCTGAAATGCTTCGACATAGCGCCACCATCAAACCGCAGAAGTTCAGCCAACAATTGTGGAGGTTGTGCTATAAGCGGCAGTTCAACACAACCTTTTTGACAACATAATCCATAAATTGGATTAGTTGTTGCTCGACGCCGATCGAGTCTTTCCATATCCCAAAACAAAGCACCACAGTATTTACAGACACATTCTGGCTGACTAATTCTGAGAATATCATTGTGTAGTGGCTTCCTAGCTGTGGGAATATGCCTACTACAGGATGAGACCTCATCTGACCGCCGCCGACTTGGATGATCAGTTTTTCGACGGTTAGCCCCTGTTACTCGATCGCTGTTATTATAACATTCAGCCTCTACATCAGGGTTCCCTTGTTCCTGATGAAAAATGGATCGAGTTATATCTCTGGATCCTAATTGTTTCATGGTCTGATAGTGCGATTTCTTTGGCCGTGATGAATCTGATATATGCACAGCAAACATAAGAGTAAGCGATAATAAGCGCCCGATACGCACGGTAATTATCAACGCATAATATGTTCATGGGTATTCCATAGTTCAAACAGCAGATATAGCATAATATCGAGCTCATCACCTGTTGCTGACGGCGAAACTTGATGAAGATTCTGCGATGACCCCTATATGTTGTTCTGAGTCTCGATACCTGTATCCCCAAACACAGTTGAAGAAGTTGTAAGATCCTCTGATGTTTGCTTGGGAAGTTCAACTCTAGGTCTCTTACGTGTCAAAGAGTGATATTGAGATTTTCTTATTCTCGGCGGCATTGATGCACAGCGAACACAAAAAATGTGAAAAGATCAACATCATTTCCTGGCGAGATGATTCATTAATCGGTTCCAAATGAATAGAAACGGATTCGGATATATCGAATGAGGAAGTGGTGAAAATGAATAACAGCGACTGCTCTTACATACTCAGGAGACTCATTGATAACAAATATAAATGAAAAATCACTCTACCTTCGACAATCAGGAATGTGATGGTTGTATAGATGAGTATCCAAATTCGTTGGGCAAGCAAAGGATACAAATGAGCAAATCTGAGATGAAGAATAAGAGTGGAGGGAGAGATGTTTCTGAAGAAGTTAACATAAACCCAATGAGTGAGAAAACCTATATTAAAATGTGCCATCATGGATATCAGAGCTATGCATAAGTATCTATCTATATTAAAATGTGTTATTATGGGAATGTGAGACATGCATTAGTATATTACTTACTAACTCACAAAATATCTAACCTTATACTTGATTACTAAATTGAAGAAATGCAATCATTTTAGTTTGGTCTTTGTATAAAAAGAGGCCGCACCATGTTAAGAACATACATTCCCATCGCAGATTGCATGAGCGTTTTTCCTTTTCGGAACACTCGAGCTCAATTGGAATACATAAACTATATTAACGAATTAAAAAGTACATTCCTATCTAACTACTCGATAATTATACATGCTCAAGCGTGCGTTTTTATGTCCGTCGTTTTCACATAAGATTGAACATACTCCGATGATCGTGGTAACTAAATTTGTAGAAGTTAACCTCTAATATAACATAGGTTTGTTGGGTCTAAAGAGGAAGGATCAACGAAAGCTCAGCAGAACTGGAACACGACAACGCTAAGAATTGGCATTCACCGAAGTTGAAAATTGAAATTGCCTATTCACCCAACAATAAGCAAAACTAACAGTATATATATAGCACCCGGTAAGATCAAACAGCATGGCAGCAATATTGCAGTGAGCAACCACGCAAAAGTTATACAGTATAACATAAAGCAAAAGCACAGAGGGAATACATCGTCTGATAACATCCACATAGATACAGCCAGTACATATTTGAAACAAAAAGGGCTAAACCACGGTCGTTCAAACACAGAGAACAACTCGCAAAACCAAGTTCAACATCTCCTTCTAATATAAAACAGCTACGACTCCGAGGGCACCATCGAACATAGATCAGTTCCTGCTACAAACAAAATAGGAAGATGAGAAACATTGTATGCACAAAAACTAACTTGCAACAAAGATACGACGGAAAGACCAAGGAGTAACCTTCAACCCATGATCACTTCTTAATCAAAGCATGCTTTGCCGCCGAATTTTTCTGACTATCCACTGAAGAATCCATTTCCATATTAACTCCTGCCTGCGAGGGAGCACCATGTGAAACTTGAGCGACATCGGCAGCATCCAATTTCTCCACTTTTATCTTGGCGAGTGGAGAGACCAACCTTCAACCAAATAGAGTTCCTAATTGTCAGAACCAGGGAGACAACACATGTATAAGACAATGGAGAACCGGTAATGTACAATAGAAATACTTATAGCGATGCCAAAGGCGAGGCAGCGATTGAACCTAAGGGCTTCCCAGGAGATGATTCGGGGGAAGGCTTGAGAATCTTTGAAGCAGGCATAGATAAATCACGACCAACATCTTGAGAACTCATCGACTCATCAATCCTGGTTGATCGCCTGGGGACCATCGAAGCAGCAGACTGGGTGGATGGAGCGCTGGATTGGACTGCAGAAGACGCGACCACAGTTGCAGCAGGTAGGGTGTACCCCACCTGTACACCCATCACTGAAAGCTGCGAATCGCCGAGAACCCGCGACGCAGCATCAATATCCTCACCTCCGACATTTACAAGAATAGGATCCCGCAAAATCCTGGGCGCAGGGCTAGAAAATCTGCAAACCATAATAACCAATTCAGACAACATCCCTAAACAACATCACAAATAAGTAAAATAAGCTTCACGAAAACTATGATCACCTCTCAATTACATCCTCCTGGTCAGCGATGCTAAATGGCACAGCTGATGCTTCAATAGGTTTCCCCATCGTCCTAGATAAGGCCACCAACTGCCCCAAAGTCTTGGTGCGACGATCTGCATCAGCTGTAGCTTCAGCAGTAGTAGCAAACTCAACTGGCAGGGACGCAACAGTCTCGTGTTTCTCAGCAAACCTGGCAGAGATCCAAGCACCATAAGCACAACAACATAGAGTTCTTAACACACAACACATTACACGAACATGACACATAAAAACGGATACAGCCCGCAATTAGCTTACCTAGATGCAAGATAATAAGCCTTAGGTACTGGCGGGTTGACTGCCACGCGAGTAGCGGCCGAACTGGACAGGACATAATCATCTAAAAAGAAGCACAAAAGAGACAGAAGAGAGGGGAAAACCAAGCACGCTAATGAGCACCACATAATCTCGAGAAAAGGTGCATGCAATAAGGCAACCACAACGTACCCCCCAACTTATTAACCAGCAAGCCGCCAAATGCCAATATGACAGCTTCAATCGAGTCAGCCTGAGTGAGAGCAACATGATCCAACACTGTCGAGAACTCATCCCAGAGCGTAATCGAGACCCTCGATCCACTGAGGAAGTATATAGGGACACGTAAGAAAAGCAAAAAACAAACACGACACATACAACCAAACTCAGAAACCCAGGAAAAACGCGCAATACCTTTCATCCTCAATAATAACCCTCTGCTTGACAGCGGGACCGTTATTGGTGATCTTGTGGGATATCCCACTGATCGAATGGAGTCTGCCAACAACATCTACGAAGAAAGACACACATCGGCAAAATCTTAGCAAACAAACAAAAGACATATAAGCAAAACCTAACCCGAGAAAACAAACCCACTGACCTGTCAAGTAACGATGATTACCGGCACGAATACTTAACTGGGAGAAAACCACAAACTCGTAAGCATCAACTGGGAAACTCTCAGCAGGAAGTGCACAGGGCAGGAAAGAAGATGAAGGCGAAAGACCCAAAGCCAAATCAAAAGAACACGACCAATACTGATTCGGGGGATTGCTCAGAGCGAAGGACTTTATGACATATATCATCCCAACCGAGAGATTACGACGAATCCCAACAGCCATTGAAGTTGGCGAAACGCCCTGAATCAACATACCCTGCGCAGACCACGCCATTCCGGCTCGTGAACAAAGCAAAGCGGCGAGAACAAATCAGAGCACAGAAGAGTAAGCGAGAAGGGCAAGAAACTAACCGTTTCGTCGGTCCAAAGAGTGCAGTAATTTTAGATCCTGTTGTCCCCCGGAGACTTCGACGGCCACACATGCAGCAAGCGGAGGCGCAAAGAAATCCCGGCATTGCGCGGGCCGCCGAGGTTACAAAGCAATGTGAATTCCATGTTCTTGGAGACGGAGAGAACCGAAGAGGGTGGGAACTTTTTTTTTTTTTAGAAACAGACCAGAACGACAGAGAAGAAGTTTCGGCGCCACAGGAGAGTATAAAAAAGAGGGACAGGAAATCAGCTTAAAGGGCGGTGCATGTCAGTTTATGGTCCAATAACGAACGGAAACGTAAGATAGGGCAAATAGCACCCTCGCAAAGAGATAAGGACGGGGGCAAATAAGAAACCGCCAGGGATAGGAAGTATAAAAAGAAGCGGAGAATTTTGAGGCGCCGAAGCGGCGGGTGTCAGATACCAGGCCAAACGCAAAGAGTTACGCACTCCCCGAGGCCCAAATGCACGAGAATGTGCAGAAAGAAGAAGAGGCCATCATTGGCCTTAATTCAGAAAAGCAAGAACAAATATACACGGCAAGAGAGAAAAGCAATGAATGACGTATAGAATGATCGGTGTAATCATTATAAGAAGGTATAACTCTCGGTGAGGATGCTCGAAGGAAATAGAAAGCGAAGGGAGGATGGACGTGCAGCTGAGGGCAACGCGGCACACACAGCAACAACGGCGGGACCCAGACGCAGGAAGCCAATCAATCAGCAAAGGCGGCTGGTCCCAATCGCAGAGGACGCACCAATGGGAGGAGGGTGAACAGTAATTTTGAGTCTAAATGAACAGGAATTTCGTGTCTAGGCGTACAGTAACTTGT